AAGGTAAAGTAAAGTAAGTAGTAGTGTATTATATATTATTATATAACACACACACACACACACACACACACACACACACACACACACACACAGAGGAATATTACTCAGCTATAAAAAAGAATAAATAATGCCACTTATAGCAACATGAATGGACCTAAAGATTATCACACTAAGTGAAGTAAGTCAGAGAAAGACAAGTATGTGACATCACTTACATGTGGAATCTAAAAAAATGATACAAATGAACTTATTCACAAAACAGAAGACTCACAGACATAGAAAACAAATGTGATTGCCAAAGTGGGAAGGAGGGGAGGGATAAATTAGGAGTTTGGGATTAACAGATACATGCTACTATATATAAAATAGATAAACAACAAAGACCTACTGTATAGCACAGGGAACTATACCCAATATCTTAGATAACCTATAATAGAAAATACTCTGAAAAAGAATATATACATATATATGTATTACTGAATCACTTTGCTGTACACCTGAAATTAATACAACATTATAAGTCAACTATATTTTAATTAGAAAAAAGAGATGTACTATGGACTGAACTGTATACCCTCCAAAGTCCTATATTGAAGCCCTAGCCCCAGTGTGGTGGCATTTGGAGTAGGGCTTTTGGGAGGTACTTAGGTTTACATGAAGTCATGAAGATGGGCCCCTCATGATGGAATTAGTGCCCTTATAATAAGAGACGTCAGAGAGCTTGCTCTCTCTACCATATGACAACACAGTGAGAAGGTGGCCATCTGCAAGTCAAGAAGAGAGTCTTCATCCATCCATGGTGGCACCCGGATCTGGGATTTCCATCCTCCAGAACTGTGGGAGAATAAGCATGTGTCATTTAAGCCACCCAGCCTACAGTATTCTGTTGTGGTACCCCGAGCTGACTAAGACAGGATGTGAGAAGGACTTGGCCCAATGTTGCTGTCTCTGAAGACAAAGGAAGGGGACCATAAGCCAAGGAAAGCAGGTAACCTCTAGAGACTGGAAAAGGCAAGGAAACAAATTCTCCCCAGATCTTTCAGTAAGGAACTCAGCCCTGATGACATCTTGACTTTAGCCCTATGAGGCCCATTTCAGACTTTCAACCTAGAGATCTGTAAGCTACTACATTTGTTGTTTTAAGCCATGAAGTTTGTGCTAATTTAATACAGAAACATTAGGAAACAAATACAGATAACAAGAATTAGATGGGCAGGGCTGAACACTTAATATTTCAACAAATTCAGATATATCAAAGTTCAGGCTACACTTATTAAAATTAGAGATAAAGATGCCTTCAAAAATTTACTACCACATGTCTTGTACCAAGCTTAAAGACTTCAGTAATTTTCTCTGTTGTTTGTATAAACTCAGGGCATGTATTTCAAACATTATTAACAGAATCTAATTGGTGTTTATATTTTAGAATTATTGAATAATTTGTAAGGATGAAATCAAGATTTTATTTGCAACTATATGCAGATTTCAGAGCAATAAATTGCCGTAATCTTGATATAATTAATTTCTAAAAGTCCTATCTTAGCCATAGTTCCTAAAAACAGAAAGGAAATAATTACATATAATTCAGTATTTGGCAAGTTGTAATAACCATGCTTATTGTATGCTAAGAACATATAATTTTATTTAATTCTTCCAATCACCCTGTGAGGTCGCGGTTCTGTTTGTTTTACAGATAAAGGAAGTAAGGCACAGTGTCCAAAGTGGTGGAGATGGTAGTCTGATCCTGATGCTGTGATTTAAACCATTTCACATGCTGCTACAAGTACTGTAACTAATTTATGTTCTTAATTGTAGACTTAACATCCAGTAAGATAAAAAGATGAACAGAATTTTCAAAGAGGGAGCATGAGGTCTTCAGGAAGATTCTTAAAGTATCTATGTGTCTATCTATCCATTGATGAATCTTTTTTGGTCTGAGTTGGAGAAGATTCCTCAAACAGACTGGGATTAGAAAGTGTAAAGGCAGTGAACAAAGGTCTTCCTTTCCTTCTATAATCTATCTTGTCTTTTCCCAGAGGAACTTTATGAAAAGGAGATTTATTTACTGGTTAAAATATGCTTTTGTTACCTGTCTCTCTTCTTCCTGCCATCCAGGATGAAGAAAGCAGTTTCTGGAGTTTGGTTATTGACTATAGGCCCTGTGGGTCACCCTGAAAGGAACAGTACCAGTGTAATGGCAAGTTCACTAAAACAGGAGCCAGAAAATTTGGGACATAAAATTTAGTCTCTCCACTCTCAGTTTTCTCCCCTAGAAAATGGGCATACTTACACCTACTTTTCTGGATTTTTTTTTTTTGAGGATTAAATAACAATATATTTAAAGCATTTGGCACAGAGTAGATACTCAGTACTGTTAGGAAAATTATTTTCTTTTCCTTTTTCCCTCTCTCCTCCAGAGTCTTTTGATTATTTGCTTGTGTCCTAGACCCAGAGCTGCTACTTCCTAATTTTGCAGCCTAGGGCACGTTTCTTAATCTCTGTGACTTCTTAATTTCTTTTATCTATAAAATGAGGAACAAAAGTATTAGCTTTGGCTGCTTATTTTTCCCCCTTTTCTTCTTTTCTTCCCCCCCCCTTTTTTTTCAGATCTAAAGAAAATGCATCTATCGAGTTGATGAAGGAATTCTAGTTCCTTGGTGGTAAAATGG